GCTACACCATGATTACATAGCCTCTTATGATCACATTGCCTCTATGCATATATCATATGCTCCTCACCGAATCGAAGAGACGCTTCTCAAGCTTCATAGTGGAGAGATCTTCTACTCGAACTCCTCTGAATGATAACCCGGATGGACCCTTTCCCCACCTTATCCGCAACGAAGATATGCTTTCGCCTTCTTGTGGTCTTGCGTGGGACATTCGGCCGGTTTGCCTGCCCGGAGACAGGCGAGTTCGAGGGGACAGAGGTTCAAACAGATCAAGAAGGAAAAGATAGGAAACATATGTGGTATTAGAAAGGGAGTCAGAGGTCTGCCCAGAGGTCTGTTTCTAATGGGATTCCTATAAGAGACACAGACTAAGAGACCACTCAATAAGAGGTTTCTCACTGCTTTTCTCTATGTGGTCATCAACACGCCTCCGAAATCAACAGTAACACCCCCCATTAGCTTAACACATTGACGCTGCCTTAATGATGAATACACGTATCAATAGCCCATGGTGCTGAAGTTATACACGAGTTCCATGTTTGACTAAAACAGGGCCAACAAGGGATATTGTCCAGCACACTCCGTATCGTGGTAAAGGGTACCCGCCAGACAAAACTTCTCACCACATTCCCATCACCTTTCCTGCAAAGACTTGCTTCCTCACCAAACCTCTCAACAAACCCCCCGTTCACGCCCATATACTGCCAGTCACACCAACAGGCTCCCAAACAATCAGACCGTAAAAGTCACCGGATCTGCACAGAAGAAGCTCACTTAACATCACCCTTCCTTTGCCACGACACACCATTTCTAGAATACGGATTCTTACTCCAAATCCAATACCTAGAAGAGAAAGGGGAAAAAAAGCATAGTGTCAAAGGATGAAATTGATAACGATCCAGCAGTCAATTAGAGCATTGCAAAAGCTTGCTTCCTATCCTCTAAAGAGAACCAACACAAGCAACGCAAACTTCATCAAATCCGCGGTCCAACGAATGAACCTCGAAACTCAAATTTAAATTGCGCAGAGCAGCTGAATTGTGGTATAATATCTCATCATGAACCATGACAAATGAAGAAAATAAAATAAGGGAAACAGAAGCGAAAAAAAGAAGAAAGAGCACAAGTTGCAAGACCAGACAACACAAAGAGGAAAGAAGAAAGAAAAAAAAGGGCTTCAGCCTTGAAACCAGCCTTTAGGTAGGAAAGAAGAGAACAAGCAAGTGATGCATTCGTCGCATTCAGACTCGTCATGTAGGTAAAAGAAAAGAAAAGAAAGAAACAAATCGGTTTATCCTCTCTTTTTTCGCCCACTGGATTTCCTGCAAAACGCCCATGACGGCTAATCTGGTCCGGCAACAGATGGAAAAAAGAGAAGAAAAAACACAAATCTTTCGTACAAAGATAGAAAACAACACGCCGCGAGCTGCGCCAACGAGAATACGCGTGAACCCAGCCAGCTGTATTCCCCCCTTCATCAGCAATCAACGTGTGAATGTGTAAAGAAATCTCCGGGGCCTCGGAAAGGCACCCTCAACAAAACATTATGTACAAGTCATAGAAAAGGCTAAATATCATCCGGCTGTTCAACGGGACCCTCCTCGAGTTCGCTGTTTCCTGGCCAGCCAATCCCCGAGCATGTTGTCAAGTTGCTATCACACTGTTAGTCCGAGAAGCCCACTCTTGAGCGTCATGACACTTACCGTCGTTATCTCTGCCAACTTGGCATTCTGTTCCCGAAACAAGCCACCCACAACCGGGTGGTCGCTGCTCGCGGGCACCACGTCGGTCTTGTCGTACACAACGACCAAGAGATCGCGGATGTGGTCGGGCTCGTCGAAGAAGGCACGCAGCTTCATGTCGTCCCAGGTCTGCTCCTTGCTGCCTGTGGACGAGGAGCTGCTCTTGGATCTATCCTCGGCAGACTGGGTAAGCTCGGGAGAGGGCGATGCGGAAGGTGACCGGTCGTCTGGGGACGAAGTATCCACCATAAGAGCAGGAGGTTCCGACGAGGCAACCGGAGACACGGGAGACACGGAGTGCGAGCGAGCGCCGGGTTTGAGTGGAGCAGGCTGTGGAACGGGAGTCTTATCAGCAGCAGCGGATGCGTTGCTCTCGGGGAAAGAGCCCGGAATGATGGGCTCCTCCACCTCGTCGTCTTGCGGCGCTTTGGTGGCCTTGATGGGCGTAGATGAATTGGGCTGGGGCATCTGGTCGAGAATGGCGTCGCCATCGTCTGACTCGTCCGAATCGGACAGATCCAGGTGGTTGAGCGCGCGAGGTGCGGTGGCAGATCGCGGGCTGGTGGCCACCTCTGCTCCGCGGCGGGTGGTGGGAGACGGCGCCTCTTTTTCCAAAGACGGGCGTCCACGAGGCGGCTGGTGTGAGGGGACCTCTTGCGTCTCGTTGGTCTCGGGGTTGACGATGCGCATCGAGGGCGGAGGAACGTTGGAGACGTCGTTGATGCGGCTTTCGGCCAGGTAAGAAGCAAGCTCCACGGTTGAAGCCTGCGGCGCCTTGTTGTTAACGGTGGGCTCGAGGCGGGCTTGCTGCTTGTGCAGCTTGGCGGGCTGCCTGGCCGCCTTTTCGGGAGACGAATGCTGCTCCTCTGAGTGGCGCTCCTCGCTGTCGCGGGATTCACCCTCGGGCCTGTCGTCGGGCGACTGCTTCTTGTCCTTTCTGGAGAAGAAGCCTCGCAGACCGCCGGGCTTCTTGTCCTTGCCGCCCTTGTCCTTTTCTTTGCTCTTCTTCCTGTCCTTGTCCGACATGAGCTCCTTTTCGAACCTATCCAGGCTCGTCCGGGGCTTGCCAGAAGACATGGAGTCGGTGGACTCCCGAGGGCCGTCGTCCCGCAGCAGGTTCGGCGTAAGGGTAATCTTCTTGGTTTCCGCTGTTTCGTCCTTGAAGAAAGAGTCGGTGTTCCTAATGTTACCGTTGCGAGATATGCTGGGGCCGTCCCGCTTCTCCACAATGTCGAGGCTGCCTCGCAGGTCCTCGTCGTCTGACGAGTCGTCCTGGGTCTTGTCCGCCGGTTTGGCCGCGGTTTTGGACTTGTTGGTCTTTAGCGGCTCCACGCGGGCACTCTCATCTGTCGTATCCTCGTCGTCTGCTGGCGTCGCCTGCTTCTTCTGCTGGGTAGCCTCCGAGGCCTCATCGGCATCTTCCTCTTCCGAGGAGTAGTCGTGGTCAGAGTAGTCGAAATAGGTGGGGTCTGCGAAAGCGACCGTGGCCTTTTTCTTGATGCCAATGGAGAAGCCGCTCTTTTGCTTGGGCGGCTGCTGTTGATCGGTCAACATGGAGGCGGAGAGCTATTGACGAGTCAGCGACAGATTACAGAGTCTCGACAAGACGTAGCGTACATCAATGTTCCTGTGCTTGTTCAGACGAGCGAGCCTCTCGGTCGGCGTTTCAATGTGCTCGGCCGGCAGGTAGCCTGGGGGCAGTGTCAGTCAGCCAGCGCGCATGTCATGTACAGATCAGTCCACGTACCAATGCTGCTATCCTTGACTACTCTGACCAGCCACCAGTAGCTGTTGCTATCATCCAGCAGAACCATGGTGTCACCCTTAGTCGCATTGGCTTGGCCCTCGACGGTAGCTACGAAGGTGTGGAGGGCGTAGACGAATTCGAAATCAATGTCCTCTGGTTCATGTAAGCACTCTGCTGCCCAACCATAGTCAATGAAGCGTGGGTCGTCAGGGAGGGAGAAGTCGGAGTCATCATCTTCTTCAAAGGACTTGTTGTAGGGTATCGTGAGCGGCAGATCGGCGTCGGAGTCGGGGTCGGGGTCGGGGTCGGCTTCATTCTGGTGCGCGCAAAGGTCCTGGCTGTTATCGCAGCCGCGGTCGCAGTCGTAGTCGCAGTCGCATTCCGCCTCGTGCGTCTCGTCATCGACAGTGCCCACACGGTGACTAGCTGGATCTTGTATGAACGCGCCGTCAACTTCGTCTACCGCGAGATTCTAGCCCTCGGTCTCCAAGCTCTGCGTCGCGCTGTCATCGGCCCACTCGCGCATTCGATCGTCGTCGACGCGCCGTTCCGTCTCGTCTTCGCCGGGGTCGGTGTCGCGGTTCTCGTCATCGATGTCGCTACAATCGACATACTCACCCGCAAGAAGATGATGATGATCTTGGGCAATGCGAATCTGGTGCAAAAAATCTGTGTCTGGCGTGCTGGGAGCTGGAGTGGGAGAAGGGGAGTGAGGGCTCGCGTGCAGGTGCAGTGACGTCCAGGGGGTCCGCGGGATGGAGGACAGGGAAGACACTCGCCGCGGCCAGGCCACGGGAGTGACGGCGGAGCTGCACGCACCATCTTCGATGGAAGGCGAACTCGAGATGCGATCCATCATGTCGTCATCCAGGTCGCCATCGTCCTCGATGTCGTCGTCGTCGGCCGCGTTGCCATTATGGGCGGCGGCCAGCGAGTCCTGCTGGTGCTGGTGCTGCTGGTACACGTCCATGCCGTCGGCGGTGCTTGTAGAGGTTGGTCGGCCGTTGTCGGTGTCGGTTGCAGCCCAGGGACTGCGCGCGTGGTCTCGGGAGGTCTCGTGGGCGACGTCGCGAAGGGTCTCTGCCTGGTGCGGAGCGAGCAGCACGGGCGGGCTGGAGAAGGGGTTTCGGGACGGTCTGTGGGCGCGGTCTGCGGGATGGTCCTGGGTCGAGGGGGCGTGATGGTGTTGCAGGTCAATTGTGTCTGTATATCGTGCCAAAGGGGGGGGCGGATGGCGCTCGTCAGTCTCGATGGGCGAGGTCTGAAGCAATCAATGCTCACGTGTCTCGCGGCGCGGACTCGGGGTAAGAAGAAGAAGAAGAAGAAGAAGAAGAAGAAGAAGAAGAAGAAGAAGAAGGGAGAAATGGAAATTGGCCCTGTAGAGAGAGAAGGAGAGTCGAGAGAGCGACAGCGAGAGAAGGGAAAGTGCACAAGATACTACCGTAAGGTAGGTAGAGAGAACAGAGGAGTTGTAGAAAGAAAAGAAGGGGCGCAAGGGGCAGCCAAAGGATGGAAGAGAAGGGAAGGAAAGGAAGCCGCTGGCGAGCAGGCGAGGGAATCGCAGAAGGAACAGAAAAAGAAGAAGCAGACAGAGGCAACAATCTGGATCTGCAACCAAGACAAGGCAAGGCAGAATGAGAAATTGTAGAGGGAAAAAGAGCGACAAGAAGAAGCGCCACCCCTGGTCGATGCGTAAAGGTGCGTTTCGTCGTTCGTGCGTCTCTGCCTCTATTTCCCTTTTCCCTCTGGGTCGCAATGCAGTGCAGTGCAGTGCAGTGCAGTGCCAGGCTAGAGAGCAGCCCGAGCTAAAACAATATCACTTCAATTCTTAAACGTCCAACTTCGAAACGGGGGTGGCGCGCATCCTGTCCCTTTTCTCTTCTTATTTATTTCTGGAGCAAATCTGGCTGGGCTCGGACAGGGGTGGGAAAAGCGAGGTCAATGCCGTGGGAGGAGATCCAATAATAGGCGGGAAACGAAGGATGAAGAGAGTTGCATGGGGATCAATAGAACAAAGAACAAATGAGTAATGAGTTCGAATGTACGCACCCGCTCGGACAATCAAGGGCCGGGTCATGGCGTACGAACTTCTCGTCGTCTTCGAATCAATGCCGCGCGGATCACGTCTCGTCTCGTCACGCCCAGCTTCCAACCAGAACGCACAGAAAGAAGCGCGCACACACAGAATTTCAAGTCCCAGTCACCGTCACCACAGTGTTGCCTTGTTCGTGCTGTTACTTCTCTCTCGCTCGCTGACGCCGTTGCGGATTCGATTCGCGACTACTGTGCTGTGCTGTGCAGTGCTGTTTGGCTGTATCGGGGGATCCCCACGTCACTAAAATCAGCAAAGCGGCTTCAATCACTTGCATTCAGAGTCGCAGAAGTGGGACGTTGTTCGTCATCAGGCTGTTGTGTATGGAAATGCTGAATCAACAAGAGAGAGGGCTTATTCATACTTGGAAATGCACACGTTGCTGACGAGACGCGGGCAAGGCACAATAAGTAAGAAAGGCCAGAGATGAATTGAAGTAAGAAAACAGAGAAAGCAAATTGACACCTGAACGGGCAAAGACTAAAGGGAGGCCCAAAGGGAGAGACGGATAGGACAGCCCAGTGAGGTCACAGAAACACGCATCGAATAGCCGGCGGTTTGAGGCTGGGCTGGTTGATCACCGAGGCAGTGACGCACAAGAATAGAGCAGGCCTGCAGTCAGCCCGGGGAATGGACCCGTCTGTTCCAATCAAGTGTCTGTGAAGCACCGATCACTGCATCACGATCTCTACTCGTACCTTGCCTTACCTTACATCACCACGAGACTCTTACCCAGACGGCATTCCCATTCTCGGCATCAACAATGAGACAAACACCACCAACAACCTCCCCAAACGCGCAATATAAACTCCATTTTTACTCCCATCTCCCTCTGCTCGTTTTTTCCCCCATATCGTTTCCTCCCAGCCGCATACAGGATCCCAACCACCACATAGATACTATCAAGGTTGAATGGCTGGGGAGAGGAGGCTGGAGATCCAACCTCACCTCACTTCAGCCATCCTCTCAACACAGACACAGCACAACGTTCCTCTTCCACCAACCCATTCCATTGTTTTCCCAACCGTTCAGATTACTAGTATTGTATCTTAGCTGGCCTCACGCACCTGCACCTGCACATGCAACCCGCAATAACGCGCAAACAAAATATACTACTACTAACCATCCATCTCCACTCCTTAAGTCCACGAAATATGTGTGCGTGCCTGAACGAACATGGGTCCTCCTCTCTTGCTCTCCGCCAGCCTCATCTTCACCTCGTCCACTTATAACTCTTCCTCACATGACTAGTACTCAATCTTCATTACATCTTCTCTTTTCTATAGTACTCACATCCACCACACTCTTAAACCTACAAGTTCATACTTAGTAAAGAGAAAACCCTAATCAATCCCACATCTCGACCAACAACACATCTCGACAAAGCCATGGCCAGGGCACCAACAAGCTGAAACTCCCCGCGCTCCACACCCAATCTCTCTACTCTATCTCTCCCCTGGATTCGAAACACGGCACGCTTGCGTCGAATCATTGGCACCCGCATTGCATGCCCGCACTTTACCCAAACGAGGTCCCAGGCATCACGACGCATTCTCGGTGCCTCAAGCATGGATTGTAGAATAACGAGAAATAGACAGTTGATTGTAAATCTATCGATTCGCCGGCGAGACGACACGGCGCATTTTTTTTTTTTTTTTTTTTTTTCGTGCAACCATCTTTTTTGTTCTTCGGTTTCCCCAGTCCGTAAACCTGATCCTACTAGGTAATATACCCATGAATCTATATCTTAAGCTATACTAGAGCTCAAGGTCGTTGGCGCAACCCTCCATGTTTTTTCCCCTTTTCTCGCCTGACCCCAGGAGACGATGCATCTCCCTCAATGACTCGGCATCATATAAAATACACAATAACACGCTCAAAAACCAAACAAAGCTTCAAACGGACAATGAAAAGAAATCCAACTGATTCCCCTCCTTCTCTACTGGCTGATAGACATGCGTCTGAACTGCTCAGCACCGTTAGACTGGCCAGAAATCTCAACCATCTTCTTCGACATGCTATTGATACAATGTTAGTAAAGGCTTTGTACCGCAGGGTAGTAGTCTGGATGTCATAAAACTTACAAGTCAAAGAATGCAAACTGGCTGGGCTCGCTGCCAAACTCGTAGACGAACCGGCTGGCCAGGTAGCTGCCAAAGATGGCGCGCAGGTAGTTCTCCGGCACCCGCGAGATGATGGTGTCCAGGCCAATCTTGTTCAGCAGCATCTTGGGGAGCGCGCTCCTCAACACACCCTTGCGGATGGTCTCGTTGTCCCACAGGTCAGAGTGCTGAAGCTTCTCGTCGAGGTCCGTAATGGCCCCCGACAGCTTGTCGGACAGGATGGACCGCGCGATGCCAGTCTGCTCGTGCTCGCGCCAGATGGCCTCGAACTCGAGCCGCGCGTTCTCCTGGATCTTGCTCTGCACCTCCCGGACGTAGTCGTCGTAGAACTGAGGTGCCTTGCCCGACTTGGGGTCGACGCACATGTGCTCGATGAAGCCCTCGGTGTCGAACGACAGGGAAGCCAGTACCTCGAGCGACGACGAGGTGACACCTCCCTTGTTGGCAGAGGCATCCTTGTAGAGAATGCAGCCGGCAGACTCCAGGCGCAACTTAGCATCCTGAGTGATGAACAGGTTGGCACCCTCGACAATGTAGGGGATGGTCGTCTTGCCCTCCTTAATGAGCCTGTTGACCGAGATGAGGTCGATGGACTCGGGCCGGCCGCCGCAGGGCACGAAGCAGTCCGTCATGTTGGTCTCGCGCAGATGATACGTGTTACGGAACGAAGTGCCGTTGTTGACCACCTCTCCGCTCGGCAGCGTGACGTTGTTCTCATCGCAGAGCACGCGGAATCCGTCCTTGGACAGCTTGGACAGGTCAAACTCGCTAATCATGACACGCTTGCGCGCGAGACGAATGAGCTCGTCCTTGTCCAGGCCGTTGGGGTCGGCCAGCACGCCGGAGCCGTCGACCACGGCCGTGTACTTTTCGTTGCTGAGCAGAATCTCGTTGCTGCCCAGGTCGCCGTCGGGGCCACCCGTCTGCATCTTCCTGACCTGGGACGGGTCCAGGTCGAGCTTGCGGTAGATGCCCTTGACGTACTCGCGCACCGACAGGGTGGTCATGCCGTACTTGTCGTGCGGGATACCGCCCAGCTTGGGGGACTTGCCAGTGAAGAAGGACTTCCACCACGGAGCGCCGCGGGCCTTGGCGTGCTCGGTGGCCCAGTCGACCAGGTCGGCCGTGTTCTCGTCGGGGCCCATGAACAGGATCTCCTGCTTTCCGTACAGGTCGACAATGGGGTTCTTAATGCCAGGCGTCTCTGCGGGCAGCAGCAGATCCAGGATACTATCAATGTACTTCTCAAACGCCTCGGTGGCCTTGTCCTGCTGCTTAGGGTCCAGGAGAATGACACCCTTGGATCCGCCCTCGGGAATGTCCTTGTTCTTGCGCTGCTGGGTGCTGGCCAGACCGTAGTTCTCGTCAAAGAGGTTACGCGCGTTGATGCCGTACGCCTCCTTGCTGCGGGACTTGACGATGCGGATACCGCCACGGGAGATGTCGCGGAATCGGAGGTGGAAGCCGCGGGACTCGGCACCAATGACCAGGAACATGCCGTAGAGAGGCTTGGGGTACTCGGCCTCTGGCAGGAAAGAGGGATCCAAGCGGAAGCTCAGGGCGACCTTGGTGGGCGTGAAGTAGTTGGTCTTGAGGATGGCGTTGTTGAAGACGCGGAAGGCCGTCATGACCATCTCGTCGTGCTCGTTGGACACCGTCTTGGAGATCTTGTCGCGAAGCTTCTCGTCAGACAAGACCTCGACGGCGGGCGTGGCCAGGAGCACATTGCTGTCCTGGACGCCGAGGTGCACACTGGCAAAGGAAGCGTACAGCAGACGGACAAGCTCGGGATATGACTGAATGATCTCGAGGATGTAGTCGGGGGTGAACGTCTCCGTGCGCAGACGTCGCTTCAGCTTGGACAGCAGGGCCGCATGGGCGTTTTGCTTGGGGTCGAGGATCTCGAGAAGAGAGGCATACTCGGGACCGAGACGGTTCAGGAAGTGCTGGACGAAGACCCACGCGCTGTGGGCGTAGACAGACTCCTGCAGACTCAGCTCGCCAGTGGCAAAGAGGTGGTGGAACTTGTTCTGGGGCAAGCAGTAGAGGAGGGAGATCTCCTTGGTGATCTGGTGGATAGAGGCCTCGATGGAGGGGAAGTAGCCGTCCAGGTTGGTGGCGGGTCGGAGGTAGGCACTCATGACCGTGATGCCGTTGGAGAACTGCTCCACGTACTTTCTTGAGCTGGTAACGCCATAGTAGTGGTACAGGTCGCTGAGGGTCGAGAAGATGCCGCGGGCAGTGCGGCTGCGGAAGGCAACAACCAAGCGCTTCTCGGCTGAGCCCTCAATATCGAAGACCTCGATGACGGGGCCGGCCCGGTTCACGGCAATCTCGATGATCTCCTGGTAGACCTGCTTGGTGTTGGCCGTGGCCTTTTGCCAGAAGCCAACGTCGGAGATGACCTCGATCCTGGTCTCCTTGGGGTCGGTGGATTCGGGGCTCTGCTTGAAGTGGCACTGGTACACGAAGTAGCAGCGGACGGTGGCCTTGGAGTTGGGGCTGGCGCCAATAGCAGCCGGCGACCGGAATGTCTCAACTCGGTACTTGCTCTTGCCCTGGTGGTCCAGATACTTGGACTCGAGGCGAGACTCATACCTGGGACCGCTGACGTGGGCCTTGCCGGGCTCGCTGGTGTCGATGTAAATGGCGTGGTCGTTGGCCTCCATGTCCAGGCGGATCTCCTCCTGCTTGTCCTCCCTTGAGTGGGCGGCAACCTTGGCCGCATAGAGGGAGGTGATCTGGTTGGCAATGACCTCAGGGGTCTCAATGTGGAAGTAGACATCATCGATGCCAAGCTTTTCGTAGAACCACTCAATCTGCTCGTCAATCAGATTTTCGGGCAGCCAGCCGGCCTGCTGGATGATGGCCTTGACAGCCTTGATCTGCTCCGTCTTTCCCTCGAACTGGGGAGCAACGTAGCCGACTGTAGCAGAGCGCAAGACTCGGTGTCCATTTCTCAAGCTGAGAGGGACGGGAGGGACGCTGACGTGGGTGGGCTGGGGAGAGGGGCCACGACTTGAGTCTGACTCGGCGTTTCGAATCTGAGCCACAGTCTTGGGCTTGGGAGGGATGGGGGAAGCCATGGTGGTTGCTAGGTCTTCCAATGGATCTTTATATTCAGGGAAGCTGTCGTGGGGAGAGAAATTAGTCTGGATTGCCAAGGCCATTGTGGTTGTATTTGGTAAAAGGAGGGGAATTAAAAGAATGGATTAAAACTTGTGATGTGAACGAAAGGGAATATGAGAAGAAGATGGATGAAGGAAGCAATGGAAGATGGAAAACCAGTGCCTTTGCAACCAGGGGACATGGCAGGATATATATATAATATGTATATGTATATATATCAACGGCCACACGACCAGGCTGGAACGCCAAAAGATAAGGGACTCGGGCACAGTTCACCAGTGATGTTGGCGTAGCGCACGAGTCAATGACATGGACAGTTCAGGGGGTGCAAGTCAAGAGCCAACGTGAGACATTCTCGAGCGAGAGACGCAAGGAGAGATCAGATGGCAGCGCCACACTCGTGGTGTTTGATACAATGAGGTATCCAAGCTTGCCAGGGCATCTCGCCCAGGAATGCGTGTAAGTTGGCATGCTTGGAGGGGGCGTGGGCATAACGGCATTGACCGAGCAAAAAGGCCAGAAAGCCGGTGTAAGACAACGATTGTCCTCACCGCCGCAGGCCACAGCTCAGGCATTGTCGTCCTACCACCACACCCCCCATTGGCTCTTGCTTGTTGATTCGACGGGAACGGCGGAGAGGGACGGGGGTACAGGAAAAGGAACACAGCTGTCGGCAGTCCAATGGGAGAGCTCGCAACCACCACGTACCTAAGTGATGAGGGTTGTCAGGAGGGAAGAAGGAACGGCAACCGAAATCGCGAGTAATGAATCCTGGACAAAGACCGTTAGCAAACTGCTGTGCGATTCTTCGCGAAAAGGAGAGCTGCAGGCCTTTGCGCCAGTGTGTCACAGCCATCAATAACGTACCTGCTAGGATAACAAGCTATTCAGACGGCCAAGAAGCAGAAATCGAGGCTGTGGCGGGGCAGGGGTTCGCTATCTCGCAAGATAAGAAGCTCCAGACCGGTGAGACGGGCTTCGTATTAGGGCTCGTAAGAGGTCGGTGCGTGAGCGAGAGATAAGGACGGGAGATCTGGACGTGAAGCCACGGCAGAGCGAGTATTTCTATTTTAGTCTGGGAGGCCCGTTAGCCCATTGCTTGCAGCCAACTCTGGTTCCTTGATCTTCTCTCTCCCCAATTATCTGGCGTTAGGCGGGAGCTGACAGCTTCGGCAGTGCCGAGTGCCGCGGCGCTGCTTCTAGTAGCTGTGCTCCAGAGCTCCGCGCCAGCTCGTGCTTGATTCCACCGTTTCTGGGCTGGGGGGGGTTTTGCCTTACTGGTACGACGTCCGTCTTGGTCTTTCTGTCGTTTCTGCTGCCGTCCCCTGAGGATTGCTTGGTGGCGACAGACGGAGCGAGGAACAGCTGCCCGGGCTGAATCCGCAGCTTGAGGCGGGAGAGGGGAGTTGGTGATAAGGAGCGGCGACGGACTGCGATCCAATTGGCGCAGCTGACGGGCCGTGATGGGAGTAAAGATGGAAGTGATGCTGATGCTGATGCTCACAGGCGCCTTTCCAGGAGAGCAACGCAACCGGCGACGCTGCCTTTTAAGTAATTCGGCTTGCGGATTCGCATCGCTTCGTGACTCTTGCCCGCATCCCTCTGGCTTCCCCAAGGCCGTCACTTGCCTGCCGGTACGCGACGGTACTTGGCTGGTGACCTGCGCCGCCGCCCCTCCCCCGGTGGGCCAGCCAGGCCCAGAACTGGAGCCCCCTGCGCCGGGCCTCTAGAAGGGCGCGCTAGGGCACTCCTTGGGGGGCACTTGGGCGCTGGAGGCACGAGGTACAGCGCGAGTACAGCTGGGCGCAGGTACCGCCGGTACTCGCACGTACCTCCGTCGTCCCCGTGTGCTGGGCCAGCTCCGCTGCTTCTCGAATCTTTTCGATTCCAGCTTCTCTCGTCACCGGTCCAGGCGCCAGCCGGTGATCCGGGCCGGTCAGCGAAGGCTCCGTTCCAGTGATTGTGTTACTGGACTCGATGACTGCAAGCTGCCGAGTTGCCTACAAGCACTACCTGTTACACTGCTATATTGACGCTCAGCAGCTCAACCACAGCAGCGGCTACTATAGGGGTCTTCTGTCAGTCACGTTGGCCCAGCCCTCCGCTGCTGCGCCGCACCGATTGGGCTCCGTTGCCAGCATCCCGACTCTGCTACCCTCCGTCTAGACCGTTGGCAAACAGTCAGATGACTCTCCCCTTCATCTCCAATGCGGCCGGGGCAAATTGCAATTGTCAACAGCAGCAAACCACCTGAGCAAAACTCTGACACTGGAAGTACTGTAAAGTACGAACTGTGCGTACAGCGCATGTACCCAAGGTACCGCCAATGCGCGCAGAAGGGACGAAGGGGCAATGGAAACGAAAGGCAAAAAAACCTGCACAGTATTTTCCGTACGGTCCACGAACAACGCCCATTTACACACGCCAAACAGCCCCCAAGGACGAAGCAAAACAGCGCCAGAAGAACACCACAAAATGTGCTGGATCGCGATATGACCTCACCCTCCGTGCAGTTTCCCTTACCTCTCCCTAGCCCGGCGGCCCCTCGATATTACCAAATAGCAACTGGCCGCTAGTCCGCAAGGGGCAGTATGCGTGGTCCGGGCGGCCGGTACCTGACCGTTCAGCAATCAGGAACCAGCACCGGGCTGCAGGCAAGTGCAGGCAAGTGCAGGCGAGTGCAGGCGCTGCCATGCGGCACCTCCTGGGCCAATTCCGCCAAATCCTCCGGCCCGGTGACCTGCCCAGGAGGCCCGAGGGACTTGATCGTCGCGGCAAACCTTGGTGGGCTTGCAGGTAACCTGACGGAGGGGCCCATGTACTCGCGGTACGTGCCTCTGCTCTCCGCCCGGCTATTCGAGGCTCTGCGCTAGAGCAACTCGATTTTTCTCTTGCCTCGTGCGTTGCTTCGTTTTCTCTTCCATCTTCTCAGAGCTTCTCCAGATCCCTGAGCTTGCCCCTCCCCCTCTTTGAGGCGTCTGCCCGTGTCCGTCCCTCCTCACGAGGCTTCAGTTGGAGACACGGCTAAGCCTCATGTGGTGCTCCGCGTCTAAAAGCCCTTGGACGAGTCTATCCTGCGAGTCATCACCAAACTCACTTGCTCAGTACAGGTACAAGGGGATGCCTTTGCTGTTCAGTTGCTGTATGTTAATACGGAAAGCAACACTTCTCATCCCTTGTCTCACTCACACTCTCCTTGAAGTCTCTGCAAGCTCTGGCTGTCTGGCAAAGTCCGCAGGCCCTGGACCAGTTTGCATTAATCTCAGTTGCAATGTGATGCCATGCTGACGTGCGCCGTTCTCGATTTTGCGACATCTCTGACACTCAATTGTCCATCTTTGCCTACTTCTAGAGTGCTAACCTGCAAGACAGGTCGCTAGGGTTAGCCGCGAGGTTCTTCGCCAGAATGGAAGTGGTCCTCAGGGGTCTTCAACTTGGACGACGATGCTGCGTATTGCTGGTGAGCAACGCGCAAGCACCGGCGGCTATAGCAGCTTGTCATCTCCCGTCTAACAACTTTGCGAGGCCGCATGCCACTCCGAATACGTGCCATTTCCGGGGCCATGCAAACCCGGTGCCGCAAACCCAATGAATTACAGCTGTGCTCTCTCCTTTGTTTCGAAATTGCCATCGTGACAATACAGGGTTGGCAAGGACGGCATACAAACTGCAAGGTTCTGCGACATCATTACGAGCCTGTTTGTCATAGTCAGCAAACCTCGCCTCCAGAAGGAAATAGGGAAAAAAACAGAAAAGGCCACCTGACAAACGCCTCCACAACGCGCATGGCCTAGTCTTGCTTTTTCATTTTCTGTTCCCTTGTTTTCCCTTTATTCTCCGGTGCTACACGTATACTATACATGTACGAAGGACCAGCACATGGTGCAGGTGGCCATTTCGCATACCGCTTCTTCCATTGCGACAGTGGTACTGCCTGCGGAACGCTAGACGCTGCAGACTCACTGGCGGGCCGGCCAAGTAGATCCGGGGTATCCAACTGTGTCGTCCACCAATCCCAACAAAAGTGCATAACTAGGTCATACAACGGCTCCAGCATGCCGTCTTGCACAGATGATGGTCTCCTCGATGCCCGCTTGAATCGTTCCGGCTACGGTTCCGGGACGTCCAGCTGGCTTCCCGTTTGGTGCCATCATCGCGGCCAGCCACGGGGATGCTCTCCTTCTCTCGCGCTGATGCTGCGGAGCACATACTAATCCTTAGCATTAGCATGGGCACAGAGTTTGTATCGACTGCTAGCGGCAGAAGCTCCCTGCCTGCATGGCGGAAGCGGGTAGCGGGCCAATGGCCCTGTCTGCTTGACCACGAGGCACAATACGGGATATCGACGACGGCCCAATCTTGGACGCCAGCAAGCTTGCGTGGGCTGCCCCTGTGGTCAAGCTGCGGTTGAAGAAATTTTCATCGACCACGACCCCCTATCCAGATGCCGGCCATTCGATCCTGCTGGCATGCAGGCCTGTGCAGGTACCTGCAGCACAGTGCGTGTCAATACGTGTCGCCGGTCAGGGCATTGGTTCGGATGGAAGCTCGACAGTTACCCACGGCCAGCAAATGGGAGGTCGTGACGACAGAGCAGACGAAGCCACTAATGCCGGGCAATGAAGCAGCAGCCATACAAGTCGACGATGCAACGCCAGCTCCCCCAATATACTCGGCACGGCCTGGAGAAGCCCCGCACCGGGGCCCCGTTGGCCATCGGCTGACCCACAGCCAGAGCAGAGCCGGCCGGAGCCTTTCGATTTCCATTACCCCCAGGTTTCTCAGCCGAACGTTTCCATTACCCCCAGGTTACATGATCGTACCCCGGAATGGCGTTTGCTCGATGGGCTGCTGGAGAGCCTAAATGATGCTAACCGTGTTGCTGGCCTGGAGTTCCAAGGTTTGACGCAAATTGCCTGCATGGACGGAGCACGGAGGACGACTCGGGAGGGAGCACCTTGCATGCAGCCATGTCCATCCGGGTACAGGTAGGCGTCTCTGTACCTGGCAATGGCGCAAACGCGGCCAGCACGAGCCGCAAGGGAGCAGACTCGCACCCAAAAAGATGACAACGGGCTGGTCGATCGTGGAATCGGCAGTACCTGAGAGTACAACAACGCTTGGTTTCTCGTTTCCTCTTACGGCAACAGTACCTTACTCAGCGGGCAGTTCAAACTGCCGTCTTGTTGGACACAGTGCGGCACGCTGATTCTCTACGAATTACTGCAGACAACAGGTCCCATGTGTAGAGATTCTCACGTCTCTTTCGCATCGTCTGCAAGGGCTGCTTCATCTGGACTCCTGGAACAGCTTTCCCCGGGAAAAGAGGAAACAAACCACAGCAGGGTGGTTGCTCGTCCAGCCATCGACTGTTCCCGTACGTACAGTAGTCTCGGCTAGGAAAATCTGGGGGAGCGCAGCGCCGTCTGGACGTATCCGCCGCAACCTCCAATCTACTGCCATACCAAACGGAGACAAGAGCCGCCTTTCTCTCTTGGCGGAGGGCCAGGGCTGCTGCGACCACCTGTTGACACATCGTGGGTCTTTGTTGGAGCAAACGTCCCCGCTTTCTTTCATCGATTTTTGTCGATTTTTTTTCCCCTTCCCCATTCTTCTTTTTTTGGCAGTACCCCAAAAATACCCCTTTTGCCAAGGGGCAACAGTTGTGCCTCTTGCAAAGGACCCATCAGGGCGTCGGCACTGTACCATCACGAGGACTGCAAAAATTACAGAAAAAAAGAAAAAAGGAAAGGGACACGAAAAAAAACTCGATTCAGCTGCAGTGGTTGTGTGTTATAGTACATGTACCTGCGCTTTGTATCGTGTACCCCGAGGACTGGGACAGGCATTGGTCTCCTTTTGTCTTTGATTTGCTAATTCTTCTTAACGAGTCACGATGGAGGCAGAAAGGCCAATGCCCTCTCCCTGTTCACTCCCTGGTTTTCGTGATTCACATTTTACGTACAAAGGACAGACCGGGGAAGCACATCAATTGAACGCCATTGCACGCCACTGCCGGCAATTTTTCGTTTCTTTCCATCTTCCTTTACTCGTTCTCTTCTCCCTCCTTTATCTGGTTCGTATCCTAAGGTATATACGGCTTATATGCAGCAGGTTCCCGCAGGATCATGATTGATGATTGGGCACCTCAGTGAAGATCTCCGAGTTGTGGCTTGCTCTATCTTTGACCACTTGCGGATTGCAAAGGTGAGATACGAATACATGTACGTTGCGGGTGGCTGCGTCGACCCAAAGTACAAAGGACGCGAGGTCGTAACCCTGCATGGGAAATAAGATGCGATGAAATCGCAGGTATGAGACGGTGACCCGATTACACCCCGTCTTGCCATTGTCCTCTTCGTGGCGACTTCTTTGCTGGAATCACCAACTTCAGTTACACACACCGAGTGAAACTACTGAGGAGCGGGAGAAGAAGCCGGGAACAAAAATAGAAGAGGCACCAATGGTAGGGTGAAAGGCTGGGGTTGTTCGGTACGCGCTACCGAGAGAGGGCCCTCCGACTCGTCATGTGGTTTGTCTCCTCTGTTACAGCACTTGTCATGCTTGCACGGCTTTCTCCGACCCCGGGTTTTCGGGGCCGCTGGGCGGTCACGATGGCAGATTTGAAGCAGAGCAGCTTGAGTCGGTGCTCGAATTATATCACTGGTAGTAGCTACTGCTGTTTCTTACGAGATTGTGATGTCCCCAGGTTTTCAGAGTGTCTAGCGTTTTGAGACATGACTCTGTTCGCTGGGGGGTTTGATGGTCTCCGCTTCCTGGGGAAGCAAGACCTTTGCACATCTCGATCGTCAGGGAGTGTGTGCATGATGTAATCCTGGGGATACTGGCGGCGTTGGCTGACGAGGCTGATTGCTCTCTACTCGTACGCGATTATTCCCGTCCGTACCTCTTTTCTCGTTCTCATTGTGTCAAATATTCCACGTCTTGGGAACTTGGGTGGTGCGAGGTCGTTTGTGTGTAAGTTGCACGAAAGAAGAGCTACCTCAGGTCGGCCCCAACATCCGAGACTCGTTACGTGACAGGTATGGGCTTTGCTTTTCGCACACCACCACCGGTGACGGGCACGGGATTTGCGTTCCGCCACGCCACGCCCCCCGGGGGGCATGGTTCACCCCTTTTTTTTTGTTAGCGAAGCTACGGGAGAAGCTTGTTAGAGATACAAGAAGCAATGTGAAGACATAAATGAGCTGGCGACATGGTCGATCACAAGACCTGTTCACTTGTTGGATTCGCTGCCCAGCCCCTGGGAAGAATG